GCTGATGTAGCCTTCTGCTGCTGTAGCTTCTGCTTCATTCCTATTGTGGGTTCAGAGATGCTCTTTTGCATACCTAGCTGTAGCATATAGCTTTGAGTTATCGTTTCCTTCCTATCAGTCCAAAGCAATCTGGCCATTCACTCAATTAGTTGACATTTTCTCCCTTTTGGACCATTTCAGACCGATCTCTCTGGACTGTAGAGATGGTTTTTGTTGCAAAATCCCTGTAGATCAGCACTTTCTGAAATACTCAGCCCAGCCTAGCTGACACCAACAACCGTAGCACATTTAAAGTTATTTAAATCTTCTTTCTTCCCCATTCTGATGCTCGGCTGAAAAAAGCAGACCTTTTATTCACTTAATTAACAGCTATTAACCACAGTAGAATACACTACACATAATTTATGTCACCCACATGCATCAGGTAATTATCTGGTAAATGATTAAGTTTAAAAAAAAACACTCTCAACTTGACTCCAGAGATGATATCTCTGTGTTGGTTATTTGGCTGCAGTCATTGTTTTTGAAGCAAAGAATTGTCTATGTTTGGGAATATGGGATAATAATTTTGATAAATGTACTTTAAGTGATAGAACCATATCTAACAGATGACTAAGACTTCTAAAATTATAGACCACATCTACAAAATTAAGATCCAGGTTATAACATTTGTGTTCTGTTCTTCAGTGGTGGGGAAGTTAAATGGCATGTTTTGCATAAAATTTAAAATGTTGCATATAAATGTTCTTATATATGTTGTGATTGCATTAAAGGAATTTAAATGGCTAAATATACAGGACATGATTCCAAACTATTGATGTGCATAGTAGCATACTTTAAAACCCCCCATTTCCATGAGCTCTCTGGAATTAGAAAATGACTGTCAGAAGCTTTCATGGCATTACAGGCGACAGTGTCCATCATGCTGATCCATATCTCTATGAAGGGGTAAAAACAGGGCTCCATGGAAGAGCTCAGCTTTCTCTTCTAATTGAGCATTAGTGTCATTAATTTGAACTCACAAGCTAATGTTGCACTGGTCAGCGGTCATGACAATGATGTGCTCTTCCTAATGCACAGAGTAAAAGGACGTTTTACTGGACGTGGAATGGAGATTTAGAAGACGCACACACATAGAGTCAGCAGGGTAGTAATCTCGTACATGACCAAGATGAAAAGGAAAAGGAAATAGTTGCATTAGTGCATTAGGAAAGATACACCAATGTGTTTGGTGTTGCAGGTGGCCAAATCACTTGGCATCTTGGCATCTTGCAAAAAAAATGTCGGTCAAACTCAAAATGATTTCTCCTCCCGCCCTTTTCTGAAAACAGTCTTTTCAGCAAATTTCAGCAAAATCTGAATTCATTTCATTTTCATCGGCTGAATTATTCGACTCTTTTTGTTTGTGTATATATATATGTGTGTCTGTGTGTTTGTGTGATCATTTTAAAAAAAATTAGGTCCCTCTAAGATGTCATCGGAAGCAACTTAGTTGCATCTATTTGGTATTTAATCACATATGAGTCAGGAGGATATCAGAGGACTGGATCAATGGAGACAGACGAGGAACACTAATGTAAAAGGAAGCCATCTTGCACTTGACTGCGTTTGGTAAGTCAGCATCAGATTCATCAGCTAATGAATGTAACCCCTCACTTGTACAGCACTTTGGTCAACGCTCCTGTTGTAATTAAATGTGCTATATAAATAATTAAACTATTAAACTATTAATGTGCGACTTATGTTAAAGAAACCGAGTTTCTGCTATTTGTGCAATCTTATTTAACAAATGCATAGAGACTACAAGACTGAGAGGGATACAGCTGCTATGGGATGCTGCTCAGTATAAAGTAGAGACACTTTTAATGTTTGTTTTGGACTTTACCAGGGAAAATAAGTGGCTGTTTGTCTGTCTGGTATTTGGTGCAAGGAGCAAGTGTGCAATGGGCTTAAAGCACCTTTTTCAGTCACATCAGCTTTCTGTAGCTGCTGGGAACAGGTTAGTGAGTATATACCCAAAGTTTTAATACCATAATAATGAGTTGAGAAAGAATTATACTTGTTGATGTGCAAAAGCGTCTGATTGAAGAGCAACTTGCTATGGGACAGTTGGCCAAATAGAAGTGGAGGTGTAGGTATACTTTTGACCCTGTGTGGATTAGTTGTGTGCCCATTAAAGATGTCTGCTGTGCAATCATTCCACCCTGGAGAAAAGAACAGTTCAAAGAAGTGATTAAAAGCCCAAAGTTACCATTAAAGTGATGTCCATGATGAGTGGATATAACTGTGCCTTTATTAAACTTAGATTCGGAGTGTTTTTGTATATTTTTGTAAGAGAATCTACAGTTATTATCATTTAAAAGCACAGAAATGATCTGTGCTAATGTAAAAACACATGACGGGCTCTTTGGAAGAGAAACCACACCCTAACTAGATACGCATTTCTCATACTAAGGCAGGTTGTAAACGTTAATGAAAATGTGAGTATGGATGCTGTTTTATTGTGTTTCTTAAATAGAGCTTCATAATTCTTTCTTTAAGTACCACATTTTGAAATGTGATCTCATCCATATGTAGTATTGAGGTTTATTCAACACACAATTGTGTGTTATGCTTTTGCAAAAAAATAGTTTTGTGTTAAAAATGAGCATGATCTGCAAATATATAAAGTTGCAGTGCACTGAAAAGTCAAATGAACGTTTAAATTTCCTGTTCATGAATTTTACAGCTGACACAGAAACTGTTTATTTTGACATCTTCACATCACTTACTGTAGATCTCACTCATTTATTAGTCACATTTTTAGTCTTTTTGCTGGATTTAAACACCACGGTTACAGTGCAGTGCTTAGTGTAAGAGGGGAGCAATCATAAATCCCTTCGTGACCACCCTGACTTTCTGACATCTGATAGAGACACACACACACTTAATGAGATTCGACTGCCACCCTGCATGCTTACCTCAGCATGCATGTCATGGTTTATCTTCTCAGGTACACACACACACAAGCAAATGCTAATGAAATTCAGGAGCACTATTAGACTTGTAGATCAGCGGGATGGGTCACTTGCTCTGACTCACAATTTAATGGCGTCTTGGTGTCTCATACCACCAGATCACAGAGAACAGAAACAGAGGGAGCGAGAAGAGATAGCGATAGGAGGATTTAACGATAACACATAATTGATTTTTTTGATCTTGCACACTTGCAATAAACACACACACTTGGTGAACCGAGCAGAGGGAGATCTGTGTGAGGATTTAGCAGTGTAAACACATTCTTCATGAGCGCTGATAATCCTGCCAAAGAGAAACAGAGAGCATCATTACTTCAGCTCATTGCCATCTCTCCAAACACACAGACACATATATCAGGGTTAACTACTTTCACCTATTCTCTTCGGTCTTCAGTGTATTGCTCAGCAAAGAGCAGACACAATGGGTGCATCTCGAATTATTTATGCCGCAGTGAAAAGGAATACACCTCATTTTCTCTTTCCTTTTTCCTTCTGGATGGACCACACAGCTAGTGTGTGGTCCACCATCCATCACCCACCACACCCACCCGTCTCTTCCCTAACTCATCTTGTCTTCATCTGCCTCCTCCTCCTTCCTCCTCCTGGTCTTGGTCTTTCTGTATTTATACTTTCTCCCCTGTCTCTTCTGTATACACCATTCTTTCTCTCTATTTGTCTCTTTGTTCTTTTAGACTCTTTCTCTGCAGTCGCTGGGTTTTTGCTCAGTAACATTGCAGTGTTGTAAAGTGGGATGCACAGCTCGCCCCGAGTACCAGAGAATTTCCAAAACTTCTTTATCTGTGTTCAGAGCAAGAGCAACATAGCATGTGTCAGGACAGTGTGCTTTCCCTGACACATAAAAGGACAACTTGTAAAGCTAAAGTGTCATTAGTGCATGTTTTGTTATCCTCTAAATCCTCCCTCTCAGCCTTCATCCTTCTCGGCTTCACACAGCAGGAATCCTACCGCAAGTGTCCATCAGCAAAAAAGTAGCAAACCTAATCTCCCCCCCCCTCCTCCCCTCCTCCCCCACCCTCAGAGGATGTACTTATTTCTAGATAAGGCACTTTTGCAAACTTTGGCCAAGAACCAAAAATATCTTCTGTGCTGTAGTTCCATCTGACAGATGAAAGAAGCATCGGCATATTTTAGTCTAGGAATTTCAACTTTCTTATTTTCTCCGCAGTGCTCCTCACAGGATGAGATTAAGCACTTTGCCTACTCTTCTCCATCCTCCCTTCTGTCAACCTTCTCCTCCGTCCTTCCTGATCTCCTGCTCTCCCTTTAGTCCCATTAGTCATGTCCTGATGGCTCATTAACTATTAAAGAGCAGAATGAGGGAAAGAGAGGAGAGGGGCATTCTGCAAGGCTTGCCTATAGTCATTTGGTAATGGATATCAGGGGGTGAGATAAGCGAGAAAGCAGGAGATGAGGGTGGAGCAAGTCCGTGGGGTCTCTTTTCCTCGTCTGATGATGAGTGGGAGTCATCAGGCAAAAAAGGAAGACAAGTTAGGCCTTTTAGTATGTTGCGTCCTTTGGGATGAGGGAAAAGCTCAGAAGCAGAACAGAAGCACATTTGTTTGCATAAAAAGCTTCAAAATATAACCATCTTCAGTCTTGGAGGCTTTTATTCATTCTTAATCAGACAGGCTGAAGAAGGCTTTCAGATAATCCACAAACACTGAACCCTTGTACTGATAAGTTCACCGAGGCCGTTTGCTACTGTACTTTGGATTTATCATATGTTGCTGCCATCTAGTGGCTAAAAAAATCCTTCTTTGAAAGTTCGGGAGTTGTTGAACAAGTTTATACAGGTCAAAGAGAATGTTAGTGTCAGTTTGTTCTAATTGACATTGTTTAATTAACATATGTCAAACTAATTAAAGAGGTTAAACTCTTTAGAACAATGCACTTATCACATACAGAGCCTCAGACAGTCTGATACAGCTTTTTAACACTATGTGTGTGCATGTGCGTTTGCAGACTCTCTGATGCTGGGGACAGAGGTCGACCTGCAGCAGGTGGAGAACACTGTGTTTGCCATAGAGACTGTGTTCAAGGCATGGCTTCAAGAACAGGGTGGAGACAGAGAGCACCTTCACCTCTTGCTACCAAGCCCCATGGATAACCTGATTCCAGGTTAAAATCTACAGCCACACACAGGACTTGAACACACTGATGTTTTAGGAAGTCAGAAATGCATTAGAATTACAGTTTATGACATTAACAAATACATGAAAGAAAGAAAGGTTTTTAATGCACATAAATACAGCCACATGACAAATACAGTTTTCACATGACTCTGTGTAGTCGTGAAAAAGTACAAATTTACAGCTTCCATAGAAATTAAGAGGGTAAGTTGCAGCCAGATGCTGCTAATCAAATGCACTTCATTACCTGATCATAAGCAAGTGTGAGCATCTCATTAGGAGCAGAGGTTTTGGCAGCAGAAGCAATTGTTTCTTCTGTTGAAAACCCTTCCCAGTAGTAGATATCCCAGCATCTCCAAAGTGCTCAGAAGAACTCAGACTCTACAGACCTCAGTTAGTGTGTTAAATGTTAAAGTTCATGGCAGTACAATTAGAGAAAGCCTAAAAAACTGGGTTGCCTGGAGAAAGCCTCTTCTTTCTAAAAAGAACATGGCAGCATGGCTTAGGTTTGTAAAGCTACATCTGAACAGTGGGACTCTTGGAACAGTGTCCTTTGGACAAATGAGACTAAAGTTGAGATGTCTGGGCACCTTATAGTTACTGGGTTGACCACGAACTCCTCTGAACACAGAAGTATTCTAGAGTCCGATATGATCTACAGCAGAATAGCTGAAAAAGACAAGATTTAAAGTTTTTAAAGGCCTCAACCCGACCCGAGAGCAGTTTAGAAACAAATATCTATAAACCTCAATGAACTGAAGCAACATTGTAAAGAAGAGTTGGCCATTCATCAACAAACACCCTAGACTGGTCACCAGTCTGTTACACAGAGACAAACCATTTGCACTCACTTTCTCACCTATGGGGAACTTAGAATTTCTACAGTTCTAAGTTCTACAAACTACTGAATCATGGCGTGTACTTTGTTTTTAACATGACTGCATGTTTCTGTTGCATGTGCAGTGTGCGTGAAGTGTGACATGCAGGAGCGCATGATAAGCCCGGCGCTCATCCCGCTGACCCCGAACCTGGGAGTGAAGACTGAGAGCATTCGGGACTTCCTGCTTGGCCCTAAGGGCTTGGCCAATCAAAGCCCAGCACCGCAGACACTGAAAGTGATCAAGTAAGCGTGGGCATCGATGCTGAGGGCCTTCGAACTATCAGCACAAATAAGAGTTTTTAGGATCAGCTCACAATCACTTTGTTAGGAGAAAGGAAGACTTGTGTGTGCAAGATCCAATAACACGCGTTCTCTGTATGCACAGCTCCTTTGTTTGACTTGGGAGCATCTGAGTGCACTTTGTTCTGCTGGAGTTACTGCTCCGAGGCTGTAAAAGCAATATGAGCACAAAGTTCAGTCGCTTTTGTAAGGAATTTTGTTGGCCTCGTAAATGTACAATCAGCATGATGGACGAGGAAACCAGAAGATAAAATATATTCCAGAGGACAGGAAAATGCTCATCGTAAAAGTCTGACAAATGAATAAAATCTTTCATACCAATCACAAAACAAATATGGAGAGTTTTACGAGCTTGTAGGTCAAAAATAGCCTCTGTGGACAGTGTCATACAAGAAATGAGCTACATTTGCTTCCTACAAAACAAACTCGTCATGTTATTTTAAACCTCACAGGGATTGTGGACACATGAACTGAATGTAGCGCAGTACATTTTCACTTTCTTCTCTTTCCTACCTGTCAGTAGAGGAATGTGTACGTGCCATTTTTTTCTCACAAACTCATGCAGTGCACTGAAGATTGTCTCATGGGCCAGCGCAAGGCCAGTTGCAGACACACTGGTGGTCCTGTGCTGGCCCATGTGTGGGCCACCTCTGACAATCCTGATCTTGACCACCAAAGGGCCGTAACTCTTTCCGGTATGTGATCCATGTGTAAGTTGTGTGCAGCCACGGGCCAGTTGCAGACACACTGCTGGCCCTGTGCTGGCCCATATGTCAGCCTAATGTGTACCTTAACCCTTTAGAGCCCATCGGAGCGGGCACGCTCTGTTTGGCATAACTATTTTTAAATCCTGGTAGCTCTGCAACCACGTGAGCTAGCGCAAAAAATTTTTTTGCATATGAAACCGGAGGAGTTGTACTTACATCTTATGCCATCAGCTTGTCCTAGGTCACGGTTTCCTTCCACATAAAGCTTTGCAAAAACTGCATAAAAAGCGCTTGCAGCAACAAAAACATAATATTCCAGAAACACGTTTTGCCGATCCGATCAGCTGTTCATAACACTTTGGACTGGACTGGAGAAGCCAGGGATCAAACTACTAACCTTCCGATCAGTAGGTGACCTGCTCTACCTCCCGAGCTACAGCCACCCACTGGCAAAGATGAGTAAACCGTCACTAGGTTTTGGATAAAGTGTACACTCACAAACCTGTCAAACCTTATTTTGAAACGTTGGCTAGTATAGAAGTATTGCAACATGGCATTTGGTTCTTCTAATCAAAATAGGAAAATAGGAACATAAATAGTGCAATCATTGCCAGACCTGGCCCACATCTGGATTGACATACACCCTGCTGTGACACCAGTTAGTCAGAAGTGCCAGCTTGTTGCCAAGTCTGGCCCAGACTTGTTTTCTATGAGCCTGGGCTACATAAACCAAACCACAATTGAGCCAGATATGGCACACAGACACACATAGACATTGCCATCTATGCCGGGCCTGGCCCATATTTGGATGACATACGTCTTATCATGCCAGAAGTCAACCAGCAGTGCCGGCTTGATACCAGATCCGGGCCAGACCTGCCTGCTGTGTGGGGTGGTAATGTTTTCATGCAGTTGAGGTAATGCTGAATTTATTTCCAACTCGGTGAACAGCTGATGTAATTTTTCCCTAAATGCGCACACGCATGCTACGCACACGCTAACGATAGAAAGCAGGCGCTGAGGTAGAAACTTGATTTGCATTTGTTTTACATTTTCAGGACCTACAGTAGGAAGTAATGTGCGTTTGTGTGAACGAATGGGCATTCGTTTTGCATACCAGACGGTTGGAAAATTGTGCTGTTTATGTACTTGAGTTAGAAAATGGGTCACACTGCAAACGCACCTCAGCAGGGATGATGTCATTCTCTCTGCTCATGATGTTTTCCATATATTTGCATACTTACAGTTTTCTGCTGGAGCTCATTTCAGAAATGAAAAGGATTTCATTGTTTTTTCTATTGTTGGCGTGTGTGTGTGTGTGTGTGTGTGTGTGTGTGTGTGTGTGTGTGTGTGTGTGTTTGAGTTCTGCGCGCGCGCGTGCATGTGTGAGTTTGTGTTGTACGGCCTTCCGCTGGTGATCCGCCCAACCACCTGCTGGCAGCTGGACTGGGATGAAATGGAGAACAACCAGAACTTGTTCCATGCCCTCTGCCACACACTCAGGGTGTAGTTTCTGTTTTTTCATCTTGTGACAATTGTCTTTATTAAGAGAAACTGACATTTTATGGCCGCATGTGATGCAGAAGTAAAACCCATTTGACCAGTCTACATGAAAGAATTTGCATAATGCAAATCTGGTTCCCGTTTTAGCGAATGTGGGAACGTGGGAGTCATGGTAAAATAGAGCAATCATATTCATGTTTGTGCTTTTGTTTGACGGTTGTGATTCTCAACTCATACAAACCAACACCAAAAACACTGGAAAGTTGTGCGAATTCAAGTACAAATAAAATGCAGTGGTTTGTAAATTTCATAAATCCATATTTTGTTTACAGCAGAACATAGTAAACATATCAAACAGAGAAAATGTGCCAGTTTAAGAACAGTATTAAATAATCTTGTGGTTTATGGTAGTAACACATCTCAACAAATTGGGACAGCTCCATGTTCAGCACTAAAAAGCATCTCCTATTTGTTTAACAACAGGTTTTTTTACCCCTCGGCTATAAAGGGCTGATGGAGTATTGACATCAGTCTGCTGGGGGTGTGTGCAGAGGTCACATTTTCTGAAAATGCGATTTCTTGAATGTGATAACTTGATTGATTGATCATACTTTATTCATCCTGAGGGAAATTGGGTTAAGGCTGCCAGCTGTGCCAGCGCCGTCTTACTTAAGAACGAGGTGACAGAGGACTTTCAAATTGATAGCTCAGGTGGATCTACTTAAAAATCTCAGACATGTTAGAGGTCAGAGGTCAACTTTTCTGAAAATTATCTAGAATTTTTAATTGTTACCAAAGGTGCATCTAGGGTTAGAGGTGGCGGGTATTTTTAACTGTCTGCGAGCTGCAGAGACCGGTTGCTTCACATTCGAGAGAGGAATGTTGTCCCGTTCTTGTCTGATAAAGGATTCTAGCTACTCAGCAGTCCCACGTCTTCTTGTTGTATTTTCATTTCATGTTTTCAACTGGTGAAAGGTCTGGACTGGTGGCAAGGCAGTTCAGCACCCAGACTCTTCTGCTGCGAAGCCATGCTGTTGGATTAGCTGCAGCATGTGATTTAACATTGGCTGAAAATATGACTGAAATATGCAAGACTTTTTAAAATGATAATGATGATAACAAGCTGTCAGGTCTCTGCTCTTTAGTCTGGATGATGTAGCTTTTTTTCTCCAAAGGAATTTCACAATAAATTCATCTGACCACACAACAGTTGTCCATTTTAGCTTTAACCCAGAGAAGAGGTTTCTGGATCATGTTCACATACTGCGCAACTTCTTCTCTGCATGATAGAGACAGGAAGGGAATTTGTGGACGACTCAGTGAACTTCCTGGAAGTGTCCCTAAGCCCATGTAGTCAAACATAATCATAAAGAGCTGGTACCGGTATGTCCTAATGCATAAAAAGCTCAGAAATGAAACTGTGTACTTTATATTTACATGATTCTGAGTATCTGTAAATAAGAGCCACATTGAGCCTTTTTCTGTATTTGGATTCCAACTTTACCTCAGATATAATGGCTTATATCCCTCAACTTTAATACTTCTTTGGTTCCCTATATTAATGTAACTGGTGCTAATACACTACTGAAGTTAATGTATCTGCTTCTGCTTCTGTTTTTAACACAGTGCTGCCCGAGAGCCCAAAGATCACAGGCATACAATGTGGATTTTCAGCCTTGTCACTTGCACACAGAGATTTCTCCAGATTCTCCGAATCATTTGATGATATAATGTACTGTATATTATTGATGAGATGTTCAAAGACTTCCCAATTTTAATGTTGAGGCATGTTATTCTGAAAGCAATCCCCGCTTTGTGGATGCAGTTTTTTTGCAGAAAGGCGAACGTTTGCCCATCTTTACATCTAAGAAACTCGGGCTCTCTAACGTGCTCTTTCTCTGTTTCCAGTTAATATAAATAGTTCCAAAATGTTCCTCCAGCTGTTTTTCAGTAACACTTTTCCGGTCTTTTTGTTGCCCCATTTTTGAGATGTGTTGCTGCCATTAAATTCAAATGTTCTCTGTTGTTTTTTTCATGAAATAGTCAAATGTCCCAGTTTGAACATTTGATGTGTTTAAGATATGTTTACATTTTACACAGCATCCCAGTGTTTCTGCAGTAATAACGTAGCATAAAATTGTTTGGACCGTTTGATCGTCTTTTCATTTTAGCTTGTCAGCCTTGCAAGATTCTGCATATCCCTCCGCGGTTCGAAAAGTTTTTGATTTCTCTCTTTCAGAGTCGTGACCTGTTCCTGCTGCTGCAGGTGGAGCCGGCTCAGAAGTCTGCAGCTGGAGCCTCAGGTCCATGTGTGTATTTGTGTTTATGTTTATGTGTGAGAGAGATGACTGTTTATCAAGGTCATTCGTGAACAATCATAGGCCGCGTGTATGTGTCCAACACAGGTGTGTATTCCCACTACATCCTCCAGCCATCTTCATCTCTGTCCCTGCTGCTGAAGCCTGTGGTCTCCAGAGAGTTGCTGCTGCCGTGCTCACAGCTGGTCTCGGCTCAGGACCCTGCACATCACGCCATGCAGACTATACAGGTTAGATGACCTCCGGTTGCTCTAAACAATTTAGAGAAGTAAATAGAGACACTGAGAACCTTAAAGCAGAAGTTGATGATTCAACTTCAGTAATCTATCAGCACTGGTTACCTTTACATTAATACAAGGCAAGCTGTGAGCCAAGTTAGACAGACATCCTCACATCTGAATCTACAATACTTTGGCATACAGAGGTGTTCATGGTCAACTCTGTGATTGCAAGCTGCCCGGGTCTTGTGCCTGCAAAGCGAGCCTAAATCATCACGCCTCCATCTCCATGGTGAAAGCTGATATGAGGGGACACTGTGCATTGTGGCCAAACATCTCCACTTGGTTCTCACCTGTCCAAAGCTGTTCTTTTTAGGGAGAAAATGCCTTCTTATGACAGCCTTTACAAATAAGCCGCCCTTGTTCAGTCTTTTTTAATTGTACTATCATGAACTTTAACATTTATCGTGCTAACTCAGGCCCATAGATTCTGATGCAGCTCTAAGAGTTACATCTTCTTCAGGTGGATTTGCTGCAACGTCCCCTCAATGGAGGATTTCGGTATCGTGTTAACACTCGCCTGAATGACCAGTTAACCTTTTAAAGACTGAACCATGGAATCATCATACAATTCTATTTGTATATACCTGGAACTAAGGACCACACCATTTGTTTATATGTCTTCTTCTTCTTTCACCTGTTGGATCACATACCCATCAATCACTTTCTCTAGCATCCTCTTGTGTCACTCCAACCTTCTTCATTTCCTCCTGCCGGGCAGCTCCATCCACATCATCACTGTCTCACTGTCCTCATGCCGTACACCACCCTCAACATTTCAATTTCTTGCTTCCTTCTCTCCAAAATTCTGAAAATTTTGTACCCTAGAAATCATGTTAAACAATCTGGTTAAAAAGTGCCCTGCTCTCTTTCATAGACATCTCCACCTTGACAGGTAGATCTTCTGGGCCAACCACCTTTCCACTCCTCATTCTCTTCATAGCTGCCCTCACTTCCTCCTTTCTAATCTGCACTTTAAGACCAACTGTCTTCCATCTGTCTTCCTCTCTCTTACATTTCCTACACCCATCAGTTCCTCAAAATTACTTCTTCCATCTTGTCAACACACTCTCTTCACTCATTAGCACATTTCCATCTTTATCTTTAATCCACCTCGGTCTCTCTATAACCAACTGACAAAAGTCCCTCTTTTTTCCTTCTTTTAGCATCTAGTCTCACAAACAACTCGCTGTAAGCATTTTCCTTTTCCTTTGCCACCTTTCTCTTTGCCGTATACTCCCACTATTCCTGTCTACTTTCTTCCTTTCCCTGTTCCTTCGAACACTTTCCTCACATTATCACTTGCGGCCTGATATTAAAGAATTATAATAGTAATTTCATATTATGACCTTTACTTAAACTGCACACTCATCATCGCGAAGGCGAAGCACGCAAAGTTTCGATGACGTCTCAGGATGAAGCTTCTGTGAATGTGATGATGACAGTATTAGACGTCATGTGTATTTTTGACAGGACATTACAGGACACGGTGCCTCGTCATTTGCTGTGACTCACTTTTTTATTCTGAGTACTCGCTAAAGGTCGAAACAGGTCGCAGTTGAAATATTCAAATGATACTCGTGTGCCTTCTGTCTCTGTCAGAGCTGTCTCACTCAGCTGGATGAGGAGTTTGTTTTAAACCCTCTCACCCTGAGCAGTAACCTCTACCAGCACCTCAGGAGCCGAGGCCTGCTCTCCCAGCCACGATACCCATACAGGTCAGCAACACGGGAGGATCATGATGAGTCTGTGATGATATTTATAGAGATGATCAAAGTTCTAATTTAAAGAATGACGTGATCAGTGCCGTTAGTGAAGATGTAGCTAAGTGAAGGTGATCGTAACCACAAGCTGTTGCCAATGATAAAGAAGCTTATTAAGAAGATTATGTTCAGGTTACAGATATATGTTAAGGAGATGATACTGAGGAGCTAAGCTGTTTGTGTTCTCAGGATTCAGCCACCACAGGAGGGCCCTAAAAGCACAGGCAGCAGACAGCCACGGCAGGTAAACACAGCAGCTTTATGACAGTCTGAAGGTCACTCTGCGATGCTTATATATAACATGGGGGAAGTTTATGGTTCAAGAGCCATTTGACCGCATTCTGATTAACCACATTAAACATCTTTCTATGGAGCGTGTGCTTTAGTGATGCCCTTCAGCCTCACGTCCTCATTTGATCACTAGATGGCAGCACTCGCTGCAGTCAGACACAAACAAGCCTTTTGGACAAAAACATGAAAATAAACATGAGAATGAAAAATGTGAAGCAAAGCAACATAATCCAATAAAACAACCACATTGTTGTTTGGAGGCAGCGGTTGAGGACGAGCAGATGTCCGAGTTAAAGCAAACAGATAAAGGTGTTGTGTGAGCGTGCCCTCCGGAGGCAGTTTAGATAATCGGGCATTATTGGTGCACTCGGTTGAGCTGGAACCAGTTTTAACTGCTCAGTTTGTAGCCAGGTAGTCGTAAACTAGAGGTCAGCCAGTCTCAAACACTCTGAGGGTATTGTTTTTGTAAACTGTTGTGTGATGTCAGCAGTTTTGTTTGAATGGGAGCATCTGAGAGATGTATGAAAGCTGTCAGATAATGTGAGAATACTAAGTAAAAACAATCACAGGTTTTTAAAGGAGGCCACAAAGTGAACTTGTGGTTAATGTTTAATGGTGCTTTGTGTTTTATAATCTTATCATGTCCTGGAAAGAAACTAGAAACTAAAAGTGCCAGATAAAAGTTTGCGAAATAAACATTTAAGCAGCTTCAGTGCCTAAAGTATCACAAGAATCATTTGTGATGCATATGAAGTCAGAAGTTTAGTTAAAACCTAAAAGTAAAATTTTATTTCAGGAAGTGGTTAAGTTACCTCATTGAGTCTGAGGATTACTGCGTTTCTGATGTGAAACAACGATAGTGTAGTGAATCATTCTTCAGTTTTATTTTAGAGTTTTCAAAGTGAGTCATAAACTCTGATTAAACGAGCGCACAGTCTGTGCTGTGGTGCTTTCTGATACTCTACAATGTTGTCAAAGATAGCACTTTTGAGATGAAGTGGTTTTATATCACAAGGGCTTCTTCTAAAAGGTTCAGACTTTCCAGAAGATCATTCGGCTCGAGGTTTGTCTGGTGTTTTGAATGTATCGCTGCTGTGGTGGCATCCTATTGGTTTTTTTTACTGTAATTCCAGACCAATATTCAGTGCTTCGGAGTATATTCCGAGTATTTTCTAGTAGAGTGTAGTATTTCCTGTGGATTTCACAGGCAGTGTATCGCTCGTGAACTTTCACCCTAATGTTTTTTTTTATGTATTCCCATCAACTGAGGCCTGCTGTGTCCTGAGGGTGTATAGCTGTTGGCAGGGTGACTCATCGGGGCTGATAAGGCTGCTCACATGCAAATAGTTCACTTCAGTGGGAAAACGCAGGGAAAGTGTTTGTTCGCTCTGTTCTGTGGCGAGCTGTCGCTCCAGCTGACCTCAGACTTAAAGTCCAAACATAATGTTCCTTTTTGCTGCGTTCACATGTCCTTCCTCCCAACTCCTTCACATCCTCCTCTTCCACTCTTTCATCTCCCGTTTTCTACAAGAAAGTGATCTTGAGTTTGAAATTCAGAGTGTGTGTGTGTGTGTGTGTGTGTGTGTGTGTGTGTGTGTGTGTGTGTGTGTGTGTGTGTGTGTGTGTGTTTGTCACCTCCATTCAGCTACAAAACTACAGTCGCCAACTGGGAATGAACAACAAGGTCAGGGCCACCGTTGCTCCGCTACCCTCCTCCTCCGCCGCCTCCTCTTCCTCCTCGCTGGGACCTCCTCCCAGCAAGGCCTCCCGCCCAGCTCTGAACTTCCTCAGCAGCAGCAGCAGTGGCAGCAGTCGGGCCCCTACCCGGCAAGAGGGAAACGATGATGATGATGATGATAACTCTGTGCTAATACAGTAAGAGTGCTGCAGGGTTAGTAGCAGAAAGTGAGGAAAAGTCCATTGTTGCACACTTCAAAGGGGTTCCAGTGGAATTAGCGCACCTGCAAATATATAGGCCCTCACACACACACACACACACACACACACATATTTGGCTAATTGGTCTCCACTGTAAAGCTGGTGAGCAATCAGGCAGCTCATAAAGGCTTTAAAGAAAGGAAGAGACAAGCTAATTTGCACGTAAATGCACACAGGAGGCCGTGCAACACGCTGCGAGCACACTTACTCTGCACTGCACTCTGGGTGGTTCTTCTGACACTTTCTTTCATCTCTATTTATTCTCACCGCTCGCTCGAACAATATTAGTTAGATCTGAATTTAACAAGCCTCCGTCGCTGCATTTGCAAGCATGTGCGTGTATGTGTGCGAGCGTGAATGTGAGAAAGGAAAGTTTCAGCTCGCTGCCATGTGCAGATTGCTGAGTTAGCAAAACGTCAAAATCACACACCGTAAACAATGAAAAAGAAAAAAGCAGGATAAAAGATGAAAAGAAGGGAAGCGGCAGGACAATGAAAGCCTTAAACAGTCACCCAAAAAAAAAATGGGGGGAAGTAATAAGAAGTTGCAAAAAAAAAAAGAACAAACGTGGGTGGTGTGTGGGAGATCAGAGGAAGATTAAAAGCTGATGGATGTATAAAAAGCAGTGTCTGTGCGCTACAGCACGCACGCTGGCACGCACAGCTTTAAGTCAAAAGGAAACTAGCTACAAAACTACAATTGATGCATAATAAACGAGACGTGCTGCATAAAGACTTATAGCGCGCACACATGCACATTCCATCTTGAGCTCCCGTTCGAACACAGCTTCACTGTTTCAGCGAGCCAGAGACAGAGAGGCCTCTCTGCTCGCCTTTACCCCCGCCGCCAGCTCTCTCTCAGAGGGTTTAAAGGCAGCGTGAGGGGGAGGAGGGTGGATGGAAGAAAACTGATAAAATCTCCAGTGTGTTCTGTGAAAACGTGAATATGACAACTTTGCATTGGAAAAAAACACTCCGTTGTGTCTGCGAGTGAGTGTGTGTGTGTGTGTGTGTGTGTGTGTGAGGCGATTTGAAGCTATTACATCACTGCTGGTTTGTGCACAGTTTTATATTTACACCCCGACAGTGATTCACATTCACACATTAGTTACGTTTGTCCGTCGTCACTGTTATGAATTCCTTTCCCGTGAATGAGCCTTGTCACACACAGGTTTAATGAGTCTCCCGCCATTCCACCCCCTTACTGAACCTTATAACATTTGGCACATCCCAGTGGCCAGTGACTTCATGACGTTGTGATGTCACACTACTTCCGCATTCACGACGACAACGATGCTTTTGTCTCTGAGAAGAATTCACCCGGACCTTCAAAACTAGCCACTAACATTTTCCCCACTTCCCCCCCCCTCTCTCTCTCTCCCCCGTCGCTTCTTCACTCTCGCTCTTCACTTTCTTTTTGATTCTCACGAGCGCTGGAGAGCTGAGTCAACTGGTGTGAATTTCATAAATTTGTTCAGATGCAACGACAGCAGTCCCTCTGTCCCCGGAGAGGTCAGAAGGCTAGAGCCGGAGCTCTTCTGCGTGACCTGCACACTGTTAGACACACTCCTCATTAAATGTCACAACTGTTACAGATAAATGTGATATTACCAGAAACTGACAAAAGTTCAATTGTTTTTGAAATTGCAGGAAGTTTAACAGTGTCCCGCTTGTCAGGTGACTTTTTCGATTTTTCGCTCTAAAGCAAAAGGTCTTCTCTGAAAAATGTTTTGCATTTCTCGTTGTTCTTTTTTTCCTCATCTCACAGTGTTAATTCAATCGTGTTCCTGTTCAGCTTTCTTTCATATATATGAGGTGTATATATATATATATATACACACACATGTATAAACCTGTATCTGATCTGTTCATCTGCTGTGGAATAATAAAATGCCAGTTTGTGGGCGGATGATTGCGGTAACATTTCTGTAGCATAAGGTGCTGATAGTAGAAGAAGGGCACCTAACCGCCTTTAACCTTTTACCTCCCACAGGTTTCCCTGCACATTAATAACATTATTGAGTTTCCCAAGGATGAGAGCGGAGTGAAAAGGCGTATAAATATGAAACTGTTGCATTTATTATTATTTAATGATTGATTGTCTTTGTCATCTTCATCATTATCGCTTAAAAAACTCCACCGCACAATTAAGTGCATCCAGTGTGTAACTAAAACCCTAAAAACGCTTTTCGTTTTAAGCCATGAACCTGTTGAAATTAAGCTTTTTAAAAGTGCAGTATGCACCTTATCCTTACTCATGAGCTCTGGGTCTTAACTGGTGCTACTTTTGTTTTGTCATCGATATTTCTTTAATTTCTGTGGTATGTGACAAAGGAAGCAGCTGGGTTTTTTGTCTACTATCACCAGACAGCACTAGTAGGTGAGGACAGGACATTGAAAATAGTGTGCTAAGCAATAAACCAATTCTGCCCAAATCCTGCTCTCAAGTGGTCTGTTGTCAGGAGCTTTACCCATCGCTACATATAATGTTTCTTTCACCACCTTTTCTCCAACACAAAACACACAGTGGAATGTAACCTGACACGCTCCTCGACTCTTGTCCAAAAAGGAGGGGGGGGATAGAGGTAGAATATTATATATATAACATATACCTTAGGTGAATGTGCAGTAGTAGCATCTATGCTGTAGTAGCAGTAGCATGTGGTGATAGTGGGAAGGAAAAACTCCTTTTTAAAAGGAAAAACCTCCAGCAGAACCAGGCTCAAGGAGGGGCCGCCATGACCAGGTGGAGGTAAAGGAGACAGGTGAAAACTAAATGCTGAGTGGTGTATAAACAGGTGCGTGAAGAAGAAATACTAATGGGTGCGTCATGGGAAGCAGCCTAGGCCTATTGCAGTGTACCTTTTTTTTTTTTTTTTTTTTTTTTATCCTTGGGCAAGATACTAACCCGAAATTGCTCTCCGATGCAT